CACACACACACACACACACACACACACACACACACACACACACACACACACACACACACACACGTAACCCAAAACAGACCCGTTATTTCTACGACTGTCTATAGGCCTAATGCTCAGTCAAGCAAGGATAACATTTTGACGCTCTGACCCGTACAGAAATCACTTTATACTTTCTCCACTCCTAAGGAAAAAAAGGAAAGGTTTCAGTTTTTCTGTACGACACAGACCTTCTCAACTCCAAGGACCATCGTCGTTGGCTTGGAAGGAGCTGTAGTTGCTCTCGCTCTCTGGATCAGAAAATACGACAGTGCCAACCTCAGGCACAACAATAACAATAACAAACATGGTCAAATTTCAAGCAGACAATAATAGTCTACAGTATATTAAAGTAGACAGGCAGAGACTGTATATAAAAGTAGACAGGAGCAGGCAATAATAATAAAAAATATATATAATATTAGTGTATAAAGGTAGACAGCAGTAAACAGACTGTACTAGACAACAGTGTATCAAAGTAGACAGGAGCAGACAATAATAATAAAAATATATATATATAATAGTGTATAAAGGTAGACAGCACTAAACAGACTGTAATAGACAACAGTGTATCAAAGTAGACAGGAATAGACACTAATAGACAATCATGTATAAAAGTAGACAGGAGTAGACGGTAATTGACAAAAGTGTATAAAAACATGTAGACAGCAGCAGAAAATAATATAATTTAATGTATAAATATAAACAGCAGTAGACAGAAACAGACTATAATGGTGTATAAAATGAAACAGGAGAAGACAGTTAAGTAATAGACAATAGTGTGTTCAAATATACAGGAGTGGACAGCAAAGGATAATAGTATGTAAGATAGGCAGGAGTAGACAGCAATTATAATCATGTATAGACAACACTTTATAACATAGACAGAAGTAGACAATAAAAGTCGATAGTGCGAAGAAACAGACAAGAGTAGACAAGAGTAAGACCTAATAATATGTAGACAGCAGTGTTTTAAAGTATAATATAACAGGGGGCAACTGTGGACACGTATGAAGAGGACAATATAAGACAATAGCTGACCGATGAAGACAGACAACAGAAAACAGAATAATAACAATTATTTTCAGATCAGGAGAAAACCCAATGTTTGTCAGTCAGCTGATCAGATGCAATAATTCTAGAATTTTGAAAAAAATAAACTCGTTGCAGCTTTTTAATGTATCGGCTGTATGTATATACCATTGAAATATAATAATCTACATGTTCTAATT